GGAATTCTGCAAAAACTATAATGCTTTATTTCAGCAGAATGACCTTTTGAATATGATATTTTACAAATTTACCACATTTTTTTATACTTTTTGCAAATATAGACCATTTAAAAAAGTCGGTTTGATATTAATATCACCTTTTTATTTCAATAGGACGAACCTTTTTGTTATGTAATTTTATATTTAGTTCGTTTCAATTTATCACAAGTTTATAATATATCTGCGATAATTTTAAACTAAATTAAAATTTACAAGTAAATTGAAAAACAAAACGATATAAAAAACAACATAAAATAACCATAAAAAAATTAGATTTAGAAAAGTAAACTTAACTAAAAGTGGTTGAACTAATTAATAAGAAAATAAATGAGAAAAAAATAATAATATATAAAACACAGGTTATTAATAAAAAAAACAAATTGAGTATAATATAACAAAAACAACTATAACAACAAAAAACAAGGTTGGGTGTACTCAATACTGAAGAAAAATATACAAATAAACAATAGTGTGATAAAGAAAAATCCAAAAGCAATACAAAAATTTTGTCCATCATATGATGAAAACATATTCAACTATTAAATTATGCATACGCTAAACTACTCATAATTCAACCATATAGGCTCTGCTAACCAAATAATCTAACTTATAGTTTATTTGGTTAGTTTACAAACTTTTTTTATTAAAATAAGCTTCTATTGATAGGGCGGACTTTTTAAAAAGTCCGAACTTATCTCATAAGCTTATTTGGGTAGTTTTTCAAATAAGTTTGTTGAAAATGTTATTTCAGTTAATTTATCAGCTAATTTTATCAAACGCTATTATCATATAATCTAACTTTTTAGCTATAAGTCATAAGATATAAGCTATAAGCTTGAAATTCACTTAAAAGTTATAAATTAGCTTATCAGCTATAAGCTAACTTACCAATTAAGTTTACCAAAAATAACCTAACACAAAACTACAACATTTGTACAACTTGCCAAATATAATGCATGAGAAATGAGGAAGTGTCCTCTCCAAAAAAGTCTGTTATATCTCTTAGTAATTTCTCTCTCTAAAAAATCTCTCCAAACGTAACCCCAAATTGATTGTCTCCCTCTTTAGCCCTCAGTTCTGCCTCCTCTTGAGCAGGGCTCAACGCACTGCCGCGCATCCACCATCGACGCCTTGTGCGTCCTCCCGGCCTGCCGTCGTTTCGAGGATCTCCCGGCTGTTGGATTTTCGCCGTTTGCTCTTGGTTGGCGCTCGAACTGTGAAGGCACCGACGAGGTGAAGGTTGGACTGGGCAGGGTCTTCTTCGACTGGGCACCGTTCCATGGTCGATGTTAAGGTTAGTTCCTATATTTCCTCTGTTTTTCAGTTTCCCTAGTGCTAGGGGTGGACTTCTGCGGGGTGGTGGGTGTTTCAACTTAAGTGGCCGTCGGCTAGTTATACTGGTGGTTGTCGAAGGTTGCGGGCCTGGAGCCGTTGGTGCTCTACCCCCCTGGTTCTCCGTTGCTCCTAGGGTTGGGCGATGGGCTCCGTCGGTGGTGTTGGTTGGTGGCTCCAGAGTTGTAAGACTTTGACCGTCGGTAAGAGTGGGGTTGATGTTGGCATGTTGGCCTGTGGGTGGTCAGCCTCTTGGGATCGCGAGTTTGGGGGGTTGGGCCTTATTAGGCCTTTGCTGCAGTTTCAAGCTCAGTGCTCCAAACCGAATGTCTAAGTTTGTGGAGTGACAACTCTGGGTGGTTAGTGGCATGGCGGCTTGCGGTGTTGCTGGGCAGTCGAGATTTAGTTTAGTAGTTTTATTTAAGTTTGTTTAGTTTTTTGTGTGTGTGTGTGAGAGAGAGAGAAAGAGAGTGTTTGTTGATGTGTGTGTGTTTTTTTTTTT